ATGGCTACCATGTAACGTCAGCTTATTCTTGGGGACAAATACTCTCGTCAAAGTCAGTCCACTGAAAGTAGTTGTTTTTGCCACTGACAGTGTCTGACAACATAATGGAAAGGATCCCTACAGAGATAGACCTTTTGTTAAACCAGAAACAGCCATACCAGCTATAATATTGCACCAGACTCCATAGACAAAAACATTCATTTTAACTAACTATATCCTCGTATGTTCATTCAAAGTGGACAGAAACAAAATAAAACTCAACAAAACAGTCTTTGTTAGTCTTTCCACTATTCACCAACTCTAATTTGGTCGAAATAACTCCTTAATTCACTGCATCCTGCGGAATGTTACACACTGGACCTTTAATATCTAGCAATAAAGTGAAAGTGAAGTACCCACACAAAGTTTACAATATGCAAGGCAAACATAATGGCAAAAAAGTGCGCCATTTATTCGACTTACTGAGTTTTATTCAATATTGTCAGTCTCACGATTCTCAGTTTTCACCTCACTGTTCTCATCACATATTTCCTCTGTATTATATCTCATGTAAATACAGGTCTAGGTCAGAACAGTAATAAGTATTAAGATAATACAGCATGTTTTGAGGTTGAAACAAATGCAGACTTACTGTGAGGATTTCAGTGTCCTCATATAGACATCCCCATGACATATACTAGTGAGGCAATATACCTGTTTAATTTCCTGTATGATATGAATTTGCTGTAATTCTTCAATAGGCAGCCATATTGTTTTTGCTGCGAAGAGTGCTACGGCCGGGGGAAGCTTTGTTGCGTGTAATGAGAGGGAAGCCCTATTAAAACCCTTCTTACTCATGGTTATAAATTCATAATACAACAATTAATAACCCACAAATAACTCTATAACAGGACTAGCACATGGCACACAACACACACCTTTTGTGTTTTACTTGTACAATAGAACATCAATTGAAAAATATATTATTGAGTACTTAAATAAATGTTACTATTTTCTGTCAGTTTATACAACTATTTTAAAATATTTTGTTCTGAAAAGGAAAAATGTTATCTATATTTATATCTATATTTTCAAACTCTGTTTTTAAAGGGGACATATTATGCAAAACCAACTCATTTGATAATCATTTGATTATGTACATTTGGGAATCTGGAGGGCCTATCTACGGAGCCCCTAAAGGGACATGAAAAAAAAAAAAAAACGTTTCTAGTGAGCACTAGATAGTATCTTGTGCTCACTAGATAGTATCTAGTGCTCACTAGATCCGTTTCTAGATCCGTATCTAGTGCGCACTAGATATGGATCAGTGTTGTGGAATCAGCACATGGCTCATTTAAATATTAAAATTAGCCATGTGTTAATAGGTCACAACACGAAAATGTAACCAATGAAATTACTTATTTTGACACACATTTTAAGCCAATACGTATTAAACTAACAAGGTAATGTGTCAAAAGGTGGACTGTTTTTGTTATTTTCTCAAAAGGAGGACAGGCATTTAAATGCGGACTGTAACAAAAAACGTTACAGATTAATTTACATTTATTTTTTAATTACAGACAAATTAGTTTAATACTCATTTGAATATTAAAATTAGCCATGTGTTGATTCACCACAATATGGATAGTATCTAGTGCGCACTAGATAGTATCTAGTGCGCACAAGATAGTAGTGCGCACTAGATACTATCTTGTGCGCACTGAATGAATGAACAAATACACACATGGACAAAATTGTAGGTACCCTTCTGTTAAAGAAAGAAAAACCCAACGGTCACTGAAATAACATGAAACTGACAAAAAGTAATAATGAATCAAAATGTACTGAAAATTAACTAATGAAAATCAGACATTGCTTTTGAATTGGGGTTTAACAGAATCAATTTCAAAACTACTAATGAAACTGGCTTGGACAAAAATGATGGTACCCATAGAAAAGATTAAAATCAATTTGAACATAGGGACATGTTAAACTAAGGTGTGTCCTGTAATTAGCATCACAGGTGTCAGGTGTCAGGGTTCAGTCTGCCTATTTAAAGGGTGAAAAGTAGTCACTGTGCTCTTGGTATTATGGTGTGTACCACACTGAACATGGACCACAGAAAGTTAAGGAGAGAGTTGTCTCAGGAGATTAGAAAAAAAATGATGGACAAGCATGTTAAAGGTAAAGGCTATAAGACCTCCAAGATCCAAGATCTCCAAGCAGCTTGATGTTCCTGTGACTACAGTTGCCCATATTATTCAGAAGTTTAAGGTCCACGGGACTGTAGCCAGCCACCCTGGACGTGGCCGCAAGAGGAAAATTGCTAACAAAAATAATAATAAATTGAAGGGATGGATAATACGAATAGTAACCAAAGAGCCTAGAACATCTTCCAAAGAGATTAGAGGTGAACTCCAAGGTCAAGGTACATCAGTGTCAGATCGCACCATCTTTCGCTGTTTGAGCCAAAGTGGACTTAATGACAACCAAGGAGGACACCACTGTTGAAAGCAAATCATAAAAAAGCGAGACTGGAATTTGCCAAAATGCATGTTGACAAGCCCCGAAGCTTCTGGGAGAATATCCTTTGGATAGATTCACACACATTTATACACTGATGGCAGTGGCTGCCATGCAACGTGCCAACTGCTCACCATAACGGAAACTAATCATTCATACATGATGCACAGCATCTGGATCTTTAACAGAAGGGTACCAACAGTTTTGTCCACGTGTGTATGAGCTAACATCAGTACTGGTGAAATAATGTAGGCCTACAGTCCTGCTCATGATTATTGGCACCCCTTCATTTTTTGCATAACCTCTACAATATCTTCAGAAATAAATAGGAATGTACCAAATTTATATCATCAATTTCAAAGAAGAAACAGAAAAAACAGCATGTGCAGCAATAATGGCACCCCTCTTTAATATTTGGTTGCACACCCGTTGGCAGTGATGACAGCCTCCAAACGTTTCTTGTAGCCATCTATAAGCTTCTTGCACTTCTCAGCTGGTATTTTCTCCCACTCTTTCTTTGCAAATTGTTCAAGCTCTTGAATGTTTGCAGGTTTCTTTTCCCCAATGGCAGATTTCAGCTCATACCAAAGATTTTCGATCGGATTGAGATCAGGACTCATTGCTGGCCATTTTAAAACAGTCAATTTTTTCCTGTCTTGCTGTAGGACCGATGATCTTCGACTCTTCTCTTGATAATTCTGATTTCATGATTCCTCTGATACGGTCAAGGCCTCCAGTAACAGATGGAGCAAAGCAGCCCCACAGCATTATGGATCCTCTACCATGTTTAACTGTTGGTAGGGTGTTCTTTTCCTCGTAGGCTTCATTGCACTGTCTGTAAACAAACTGTTGCCAAAAAGCTCTATTTTTGTTTCATCTGTCTGGTACTTGTTGAAACCATGACCCCAGACTGTTCCAGGTTGGCCTTCAGGTCTTTGGATGTTTGACGTGGTGTTTTGTCCACCATTTTCAACCTTCTTAGACTTCTCTCATCAATTTTTCTCTTCCCCCCACGTCCAGGGAGGTTCTTGACAGTTCCATGCTTGGCAAACTTCTTAATAACATTACGCACTGTTGAAACAGGGATACCAAGGTCTTTGGAGATGGCCTTATACCCTTTGGAGGTCTTGTGTGTGCTAATTATCGCACTTCTGATGTCCTCAGACAGCTCCTTTGTCTTCACCATAGTGGTAGTTCCCCTGGGAGCTTTTATGGAGTAGGATTCATACATGTACACATAGTAGCTTCTTGGTTAATGGTTAAATGGTTATAATTATCCTTGAGCAATGATGGCCCAGCAGTGCTAACAATCGACCAACAATAACTGTGGTTTGTTTGAACACTTCTCAGTGTATGCTTTAAATCAAGACACTCACAACCATAGAATATTATACAAAAACACATATACATATTTGTCCCTGTCAGGAGTGTATTGGGAAATATAATAAAATTATATATGTGACCTTGCAGTCGAAGTTCACAACATCAGTTGTATATACGGTGTATAATTTCAGTCATTGAAAAAGATACTTGCACATTACAGCTCCATTCTTAAAATATCCACAGTAAGCCCGTGCACAGTCACAATGAAACACTAGCACTAGTTGTACAATCCTTTTAAAAGTACATTTTTATGATATCATAAAAAATCACATATCTTACTTTATTATTAGCTTCCTGTTTGCTCTGAGGACACATAGCACACCCTTCCTAACCTTATTTGCTCTGTGCTCTAATAACAGTTGAGCAAGCGTCTGTTGCTTTCCCGTAGTTTATTGTAGATATGCTATGTGCTAATAGCTAATAAATGTTAGCAAAACACTAGCTAATATTAGCTTTCAGCGACTGTACTTGTATAGCGCCTTTCCAGTCTTCCAACCACTCAAAGTGCTTTTACACTACATGCCACATTCACACAGTTGAAACAGGAACTAATACTCAAACAAATACAAATACATCAAACACAGGTGCACAGCAATTTGGGGTCAACAACACCTCAGGCATCTCAAAATGAGGCCCCAGCTGACCTTTAACTAGCTAGCTAACATAAATCAATCGTTAGTCAGCTTAGTTAGCAAATGCTAGCTAAAATATTGCTAACATTAACTAGATTAAGAAGTGACTATATATGTCGCTTTTATCTTTTAAACCTCTTCAAAATGTGTTTGTCTTTTCAACATGGCTTAGCCTAGCACATAGCATATCTAAAGTAAAACGTTTAGGAAACTGGCAGCTATGGTTGTCGTAACTTTACCATAATAAATTCAATAGAAATGTTTTCTAAAATAAGTACAGGAAAAGAGAAAGTTGACTGAGATTCTGACCGTGGCTTTCTCAACTGTTATTGGAGCATAGAGCCAAAAGGGGCGGGACATAGGAAGGATCGATTAAAACTTAAGGAGGAAGCAGGAAGCAGCTAGCTGAGAAGTAAAATGATCAAAAATATACTTCAAAGTATCCTTTAAATGAAATGTATCTTGGGTGTCTCCATGTTCCAGATTTGGTGGAGTGTCTGGACGGCATCTTAACCACCCTGCTGGAGGACAACATTCAGGTGTGGGCCATGAAGAGCCAGAGTGAGCGCACAGAGGTGCACACTCTGTTGGATAAGATTGATGCCGCCTCTGACCAGCCTGTACTAGCCGTGTTACGTACCACCACCTCCCTCAAATCCCCCACCCTCTACATCTTCACCTCTGGAACCACTGGTGAGTCTGCCATAATACAAAAAAAGCTATAGTGATCTACTTGAGGATGCTGAATTTTGTTTCATGTAAACGTATGGCTATTTCTTAAAAATAATCCATCCACCCACCCAACAAACTGCTTTATAGCCACCTGTGTGTATCACGGTTGTGTTGGTAACAGGGTAAACAGAGCACTTCCCAGAGGACTCCTCAAGTTTCTCCTGGGCATACTAGACTACTCCCCTGTCTAATCCTTTCAGTGTTTGAGCTGTTTATAGTATGTAAAATGTCAAAAATAACACCAAGTGCCACACTGTACAAAGATATGTATGTTAGGTGTAGGTCTAGTGGATTGTTTCATAACTAGTTAAAAACATTGTAAATTCTACATTCTAAAAATGTAAAAACATATCCATTACACACCAAATAAAAATAAATGTTTTAACATTTTGTGAATTAAAATGTGCATCATCCATTACATCCTAACCTGGCGCATTTCCTCTATGTTGTTCCACACCTCAATAGTGCTGGCTATAATAGAGAATTTAATAGTGGGCAGATTTCACCACCAACACTATAATTAACATTATAAATGGCTCCCCAACAATTTTTTTTTGTTTTACAAAATATTTTTGTATATTAACGATTGGTGACCCTTGAGGTAACCAAACTGCGACTGTTTCACAATGTTAACCACGTAAGCTTTTTTTCAAAAGTATAACAGGAGGTTGCGTATTTCTTACTGCTAATGTGATGGGAAGTTGCAGACATTACGTATTTTTGTTGCTAACTGGACCGCGAGCCCTGCTCATCTAGAAATTTGTGGATGTTAGCCTGCAGCATCATGTTTTGAAGCGGAGGGCCACTGACCAAGCAGCAGTATTTGACAAGTTTGGAGTGAGAGTTGGTAGTTTAATTTTCAAAGGACCACTGTGTAGTATTTAATGGCATCTAGTGGTGAAGTGAAACCCATAGACTCAATGAAGTGCGAAGGAGAAATTATGGTGGCAGCAAAACTCTTTAAAAATGCAAAAGGCCCTGTCTACAACCAGTGTTTTATTTTAGACTGTTCTGGGCTACTGTAGAAACATGGTGGTGCAACATTGCGCACTTTGCCAGAAGTAGATAAAAACGTCTCGTTCTAATGTAACGAAAACGCAATGATTCTTATATTCAGGTGACACTAATGAAAACATGAATATTATATTAAAGTTTCTGACAGAAAGAGAATGTTACACACTCACACACACACAGTGGGCTATGGTTTGGTTTGAATATTTTGGTCACAGTTTTGGTGGTTGTCTCACTTTAACATAAAAGCTGGCTTGATACAAGCATCCATATACTGGCTAATTATAGACGGCTATTTCATAAATAATTGTCTGAATTGACCGTGAGATCAGGCTTTGCAGAAAGACACTAAAAGCTTATTTCTAACGGTTGCAGCCATATGTCAGAACAGTAATCCTTTGACTTCAGCTAATTCTGCCGTCTTCACCGTCTCTATCACATGCGCATCACTGTGACCTGGAGAGGGCCTTTAAAACAGAGAGGGACCTTTTGAAACGCAGGTGGGGAAACCCAGAGAGAGGGAGCGTCTGGTGGTTTAGTGTGATTGGCATCTTGACAGGACTGAATGGGTGACGACTGACTGACTGTACTTGACTGTATTGCTACAGAATCACAACTCAAATGCAGCATTGCATGACATTCTGTTGCATTGTCATAGGTCACACATGACTATGTACTCCTGGCTGATGCTAACATTGGAGTTACCAGGATAGAAAGAATCAAATGTTTATTTTTCATTGCATTATGTAATGCAGCATTATGTCTTCATTTTCACAGGGCTCCCTAAGGCCGCAGTGATCACTCACCTCCAGAGCTTGAAGGCAGCAGCTGGTTTTTGGGCGTTTGGGGCGACTAAAGATGATGTGATGTACATCCCTCTGCCACTCTACCACAGTGCTGCTTCCTTGATCGGCATAGGAGGAACCATAGAGCTGGGTAGGCCACATAATATCTCATATCCTTCTGAATTTGCTACATGTTGTTAGCTTTTGTTGTATCTTGTCAGATGAAATCTAAACATCGAGCAAACAATAAAAATCTGTTAGTTTAACTCAAACTAACCAATTGCCTTATATGATTCAAGTGTTTTAACTCAAACAGTTTAAGCATAAAAAAAGTATTTGTTTACGGTAACCTGGGTTAGTTAGGATAATTGTATCCTGACGCGACCCAAACTGAATATAGTTCACATTCTTATCAAAACTAATAAATAACAGATTCACGCAATAATAACAGTTAAAGCTATTGGAGTCTTGGAAAATCAGCCCCAGACTCCCTTAAAAAATAACAGAACTGTCAGTTGTTGCGTCATGGGAAACTTTATAAACCTTTGACAAATTCTTAATTATTTGTCTCCTCTTGTAAATTTGGCAAATGTAATTAGTGATTCCTTTATATTTATAAAAAGTCATGTGTCAGGTTCCCTGGTGCACTGTTAAAAAAAAGTTGAGAAAACACATAATTTCAAGCCAAAGTTTTAAGTCAGAAGTCAAAGTTTAGTTGCTAACCTATAATCTTCTGTTGAGGTAATTTACTTTTCTATTTAAAACTTTCTTCTAAAAACTTAATTCTTTGAATTTTAGAACCCAAAAATTGTTCAAAATATTAAATTATTAACTGTTTTACAGATTTTTTTTGCCTGCTTTCATCACCATTCATCACCGTCACAATTGTGGTTTTCCATTTATTATTTAGCAGTTTTGACTTTCTTTTGCGCTGTTACTTTGCCAGAACTGAGGCTGTGAACTGTAGTAGGACTCAATGTAGCCTGGATTGTGTAGCTTTAAATATCTGCAAACTCAACAAGCCTGCAGAGAAACACTGTTGCACATGAATAATAGATTTACCGGTATCTCTGCTCTGCGGCAGTACACACCGAGCTTCTCCACACATTCAGGGCTACTATTTGTAGCTATCACATAGCAGCAGAAACGGTCTGTGCATCACATTGAGGGGGGCGCAGAGCAGGTCAGGTCAGGATCTAACGGCAATTGGGAGCTACAAGCTGCTCGGCTCCCCTGAAAGAGACATGAGCTCCCCAGGAAGCATCATTTTGAGAAATTAGTTAATTAGTGGTTCCACTGTTTTTTTCTGTATAGTTTCTAGATACTCCCAATGAGACTCAAAAAACAACTGTCTTTCTTGGCTCTGATTGGTTGTTCTGAAAACAAAAACAGTTGTCGTAACTTTACCATAATAAATTCAGTAGAAATGTTTTAAAAGGATATTAGTACTGTTGAGTTTTAATCCATATTTTACTGTATAATTTACATGTTTTTACCATCAAAAGAAACAGTTTTGCCATATAAATGCTATGACGGTGGTTTTCTGGGCAATTTACTGTCTGTAATATAAAATCACTACTTTATCCCATATAAATTCCTTTGAAATCCTGTATAAAAAATGGTTTCCCCATGAGATATCACAGTGTTTTACTGTTACAGAAACTTTAACCTATTTCAAATTTATCATCTTTTACTGTCATGGTTTGACAGTTTTTCATTATAAAATGGTCTGTTTTAGGATGACATGATGATATGATATGAAGATGTGTTCCCAGCCAAGTGTTTTTACCCAACATATGGGCTGAGTTCCATGTTGGAAACAGAGTTCAACAATTCTCTAGGTGAACTGGTATTCAGGACTGCAGACACTGACCACAGTCTAACTGCCAAACTATGTGACCCCTTTGAGGACCCGCTGTTTCACTTCAACTACCAGCTTAATTAGAGGCTTCAGAGCAGGAGGTGGACACAGAGACTATTATAGAGAATATTATTATTGTTTTAGGTAATTGTTGCTGTGTTCCACCTCTCATAAGTGTTTCATGAGCATGTGTTATGTTAGTTATGTAATAGTTTTGGAAAAGCAGCAGCTTCTTATCAGCAGCAGCTTCTTATCAGCTATTCTATTGATGTATCTTAGCTTTCTGCATTTGTTCCAACTGATACCTAAGTTGACAGTGCAACGTCCTCCCAACAGCTTGTGCTAACAAACCTTGAGACCGGTGCCCTGAGAGTTTGAGATGTTGAACTGTATTACATTTTGTACACATTTAGCCTTGATGGGGCTATAGGGCATACAAGGGCGCAAGTTTGCTGGGCTACCAAAACTGTAAGGTTTATAAATATAATAATCCACCAGTGATAACTCCTCTTATACATGGTCCCAGTAGCTGTAGCAAGGATGTGGCTGAAGTGTGTACTAGCTGCATCAACATCATCACCGTCAGAGCTCCCGGTGGCACCATCTGGGTCTCCTAACTGGCAAAAATGGTCATTCAGTCATATTGACATACAACATTGAGTGACATTAGCACTGCCCTGCTCTTCATGATTCATGAACTGTCATTGCAACAGCAGAAAGAGATACATTTCAATTTAAAACTTGCCAAAACCAGAGCCAGGGAGTTTGATTTAAAGGACATTTTGCGCAGTGCATGGCTTGTCAGTTGTCTTTTTGGGGGCGTGTACAGTGTGTGACATGTATATTTTGAATAAATATGTACAAAACATAAGGAGAAATTATATTAATTATATATCTATTAATATATTATCATGGAGTTGTTTAGCAGTCTTTTTGGTGTGTGAGTTGAAGTATTGAAAACAGAAGATTAAGAGAATTGTATCCTTTAATACATTGTTGTCTGTCCTATCACAGGTGCGACCTGCATCTTGAAGAAGAAGTTCTCAGCGTCCCAGTTCTGGAATGACTGTAGAAAACATGATGTGACTGTTTTCCAGTATATTGGCGAGCTGTGCAGATACCTCTGCAACCAGCCTAAGGTAATCCTCTGTTTGCCATTAAGTGTCAATAACCTCCTGCAAAAATAACATCCAGCCTGTCTCTGCATGTATGTACTGACCAAAGTGCTTGATTATGCTGCATTTGGGAAAAAAATTTGGCATCAAATTAACATTTACATAATTTTATTACCTTCCTAAAGAAAAATATCCCATTTGAAATACTCTAATTTTTTTGTGTAAAACCACCAACATTTTACATATTTGACATTTGAGTAAAGAATGTGTGTACTTTCGCAGCCGTTGCTAGCATGTCTTTAACTTGTTATCCACCCACCAGGCTACAAAACAAGTCCAGATAGTCAACATTGCATACATTGCCTCTTAATGAATGACAGCACAAATGAGTAGTAGAGCTACGGAAAAAAGCACCAATGCTCTTTACAGTAGGCAGACTTTTCTCGTCTGCAGAGAGAGTCCTTTACAGTCACTGCAACTTGTGAATCATTTCAGTAACATTGTGCAGAAAGACAAGCACAGTCTTTGTTTTAGTGTTTGCGTCCTCCCATAGTGGACACATTGACACGCATGCACACACACACACACACACACACACACACACACACACACACACACACACACAGACACACACACACACACACACACACACACACACACACACACACAGTACATTACAGGACTGAATGTCCTCTTTGTCCACTCTCCCTCTGTTATTTGGCTGTGTGGGCGGAAGGCTGGTCTTGACTGTCCTCTGCACTGATTGGCAAATAAAGACGGGGACACATAAGCACCTTTTCACAAGGTCAATGTGCGCACACAAGCATGAGGACTAATTACTGCTTTCATTATGTACAGTGTGCAAAGATGGAGCTCATCACTGAGGACGCTAATACACCTGGCAAAGTTTTTACCTCATTAGGAATTCAGAGACCAAGAATCCACATGTCAGTGTAGTCATAATTAGGGATGGGATGATATACAATATTATCGAGTATCGTGATAAAACACCTGATACATTTAATCGTGAATCGTTCACATGGTTTGACCTGAAAAAGCTTTTTCCAGCATACTGTCCTATATTGATTCCTTGATTTATTTTGAACAAGGGGGAGCCCACATCTTTCCAGTCATTCAAAAAATCCTAGTCCTGTCACATGACTGAAGGCTCGGCTTGCCTACAAAATAGATAAACTGGCTGTGTGGAAATAGTATAGATTCCAAAATGAGAAAATGTAATGTACAGTGATTCCAGTATGTGAAGTATATTTTGAGATTCAATTAAATCAAACCCAATTTCTGATACTATTTATGTTTTTTATATAATATATTCTGTAATTACCTCTCTGTATGTGCTGTAGTTTTCATTGCCACTGGTGTCTCAGACAGAGAAATTGCTCTGTTACCAACTGGCTTGTTAAGCTAATTAATGGTGGGCTATTACCTAAGTTCTGCTGGCTTTATGGAAATGTTCTCATAGTGGTTTTGTTTCACAAGAGTGACAAACAATGCAGAGACTTGGGGCAAACACTGGCTGGCTGTCAGCAATAAGGCGGGTCATGGATCACGCTGCTCCCTTGAAGTACCTGTGTGTTGGATTTAGTGGCATCTAGTAGTGATGCTGCAAATTACAACCAACTGAGCACCACTTGCATCTGTATTTGACGACATGAGAATGGGCAGTGAACCAAGTCTTGAAAAATGTAAAAGGCCCTATCTAGAGCCGGTGTTTATCTGGACTACTGTAGAAACATGGTGGTTTAACATGGCGGACTCCGCCAGAAGAGGACCAGTTTCCTCTGTAGATAAAAACGGCTCATTCCAAGGTAACAAAAACACAACAATTATTATTTTCAGGTGATTATACACTATTACTATAGGTATGTTTTCATTTAGATTAGATTTAGATTTAGATATCTCCTATAATTAGAACTCAAATGCAGTCGTGTGGCATTACAACATGCCTTTAATTGGGAATTGATGCTGTGGGCCAAGTTTTAAAACAAAAATACAGAAATAAGGCAAAAATGGGTATCACTTCATTTGGACAGGCTGCCTACAGATAGTATTTGTAACATTTCAGCTGTGGCTTTGTCTGTCGATGTTTAACAGCATATGTGACAATTCATGAACATGCCCTAACCAAGGTGTTTTTTGTGCCTAAACTTTAAGCTAGAATCTGTCTGTGTACTTGCATTATCCCAAGTGTTTCAAACAATGTTCAAACTTAGAGAAATCTGTCATTTTATTCAGGAAACACTGCGTTTCACCGGTCGCCTGTCAATGGCGTCATATCCCCTTTGTGCAGCAACCTTTTATCCAGTTTTAAGCCACATTTACTTCCTTCTCCTTCCATCAGACGGAAGTGGATAAAGTCCACAAGGTGCGGATGGGCGTTGGGAATGGGCTGAGGCAGGACGTGTGGCGGGAGTTCCAGAATCGCTTTGGAAACATAAAAATGTGCGAGGTGTATGGCTCCACCGAGGGGAACCTGTGCTTCATGAACCACATCGGCAAGATTGGAACTGTGGGCCGCTCCAACTCCATCTACAGAGTGAGTGCTGCTTGGTGACCCTAAGATGTGAGGAGCAGGTGCAGTACTCAGCACAATACCAAAACGAGATCATGTTGCATGAAGACTGATGAATACTGAGATTGAGATGGTTAATGGTTTCAAAAACTTCGGTCTTACCTTAAAGGAAATACTGATATTTTTAAGAAATGTTCTTCCTCTTGATAGCTCAACATTTTTGCCAAAATATTCCGGAAACAGTGTATATTACAAACCCAAGGTTACTCCCCAACCATGGCTGCTAATGAGACACATCTTGTGGCAGAAGCAGTGTCCAAGACTTGATTTTGACCACTGAAGTGCACATGGCTGAGTGACCTGCAGTGAGTGGTGGGGGGAGGGGTACACTAGAGGAGCTCTGTCAGATCATATGTTATCCAGGATGGAGCAAGGGACCTTCATCTGTAAGGTGTTAGCTGACTGTATATGACTCAGTATCATCAACACCTATAAAATATATAGTAAGGTCCAACATAGTAATATTTATCTTTATGAAGAAAAATAACATCTTCAGTTGTGTTGATTTACTCAAAAGAAATACCTTTTTGTTTGCACTTTTGTTATATAAAATGGCAAACATCTTACCATACATAAAAATAACAACAAAAAACAACACAGTTTATTTTGTCCACCTGGTGGTCAATAAAAGTTTTATGCAACTGAATTGTAATACAATGTTTCTATCATTTTATAATACTAAGGTACTTATACATATTTTAAATATAAAAAACCTTTTACAATAGGATGTACTACAATACAAATTTCGTAAAAAGCAGTTTAAAACATTTGAATATGATAAAATACATTATATTACAATTACAATAAATACAATAGTAGGTAGGATGTGGGATGTTTCTGTTTGTATTATATTATTATCATTTTAAAATAAATATATTTAAATATGACACAATACAAGACCATTATTATGTAGCTTTGAATATAATTCAATACAATATAATGTAATACAGGACTAGTAATGTAATGTAATGTAATATAATAGATTGTAATAACTTGTTTGTGATATCTTGGGTTTGGCAAAATAGCAGCAACACCTTCTCGTGAAAATAATGTGTCAGAGCAGAAATGTGCATACAGACAGCCAGACACTAACGTTAACGTTAGCCTAACTGTTACTTGCCTTGCTGGTGTGAGGGGGTGTCTGCGGGAGGACTTGATGGGGAGAGGGTGGCCGAGATGGATGGTAACTCGTCACTCGTAACGTTACTTAAAATGGCAGGAGTTTCCTCCTCCTGCTCCTTGGAGCGTTTCTTGGTGAATTTAAATGAAAACAAGCTGCTTTGCTTTGCCATGTTGACGTTTCATATTAGCTAATAGCTACGGTCTGTGTCTGTCTCATTGAGCTTGCTTGAAAAGCTTGCGCGCCAACGTCATTCATTTCATTGGATCACTTGCTGGTGACGATGCAGCCTGTGGGCAGGCTTAAGAGTCCACACGTGGGTTAGAAGCCACTGATTGGCTGAGAAGCTTTCACTCAAAGCTTTCCTCCTGCTTATTGGATGAACAGCTAGAATGAAAATCACTCACTACATACTATAGGCCTGGGTCAAAATGGGTGGGCCCAGGCCAAGCCGGGCCCACCCATTTTGACCCAGGCCTATAGTAATCTTGCTTTTCTAAATCTACAGCCTGAGGGAAGAGTTTCAAACTCAAAGTGAAGGGGGTAGTTTGTACAGTCTGGGAGGTAGTTCATAGGACCCACATGTCTAAAGTTAAACTGTTTAACATCTACACTGATATCACCTCCACGTGCGATAAGTGCAAGAACAATGATGCTACCCTTATGCACGTGTACTGGTTCTGCCCTCGATTTACAAATTCTGGAGAGACGTCCCTATCTAACTTCTTAAAGCAGAATCTAGACCCAGATCCTCTGGTAGCCCTGTGTGGCATTACCGACAGAGACAATCCTCATCTGACATCTCAGAGCACCGCATGGCTGCCTTTGCCTCACTCTTGGCCAGCCCACACTTAGTCAGTGGCTTCGAGACATAATGTCCTGCCTCAAGATAAGATAAGATCGACTATTGATCCCACACTGGTGCAATTTACTTGCTACAGCAGCTCTAGATACAACAGATAAGAAAATACACATGGAATAAAAATAGAGTAAGAGTTATATGTACACTACATACAGCTTTTTATATACATATGTGACTGATAAGGAACAGCAGGAGATGGTGGCATGGTGTAAAAATAAAGGACGGAGATATATACAGCAGTATAGTTTAGAGAATACAAGGCTATAGACATAGGGCTATGAATATACAGTACAAGTCTAATATTAACTGAATAATAGAATAAAGAAATTATATATACACCCTTTTTGACATATTTTAATAACAGCCAAACGACATAGCCTGATATGCATTCTAACTCCACCCTTCACACAAAAAATAACACCAGACTTCATGGAAATAGCTATAAGTTTGGTCTTATTTCTTATTAGTAGACATTGTGCGTCATGTTTATTTTCCAAGGGCTTTCGGGATTTTTTGTTGAAAACCTCAATAAAAAGATTTTGAAAAGAACATTATGTCATTATCACGAGGTTGGGTAAAGAATGTCAGCTTGAATAATTAGTAGTAGTGATTAGGCTGTAAGTCGGTTGGGACAGTGAGGAAGGATGACCAGTGCAGTGGCTTTAGTGCAGCAGCTCTCATTGGTATTAGGCTCACTAAAGCTCGTCTCTTAATCAGAGGCGTTACAAAAGAGTGGCTACATGTATTTAGTTCTAATCTCTAACCTTGGCTATTCTTAGATCTGTCTCACTGCTGTTCCTACTGGCCCACTAACCGTTATAAAAGATAGTTATAAAAGTGAAGTTATAAAACAACAAATAATTTCAGGACGCATCCTAATCCAGTTAACAGGATTGTTAGTTCTGTTAAGTGAAGTATAGAATTATTTATAGACTTAGATGTCAGTGTTCATGTTTAACCTAAGGAAACCCTGTAAATAATTTCTTTCAGTTTTAAGTAATTTTATATGCTGTTTTTGCATCTGTGACCTCCAATGATTATTAGAAAATGTAAAAAAGATCATAACAGTAATCTGTTATCTTTATATATATCTGTAATCTGCTGTAAAATCAGAGGTGCAGTGTGGTGCAGATGTGCAGGTGTTAGGTGTATACCCAGCTCTGGGCAGGGGTATTTACTGCATTCTAAAGCCAGACCAATATAGGATTTTTGAGACTGATTTTAGATTACCGATATGGCGAGAATTTCTGAGCTGGAATGAAAATGGACTTTTTTCTCTATGGATTGTGTACTGATTTTGAACTCTACAAAATACTCAGAAGGCTGCTTATTAAACAAATAACTTCATTAAAAGAATATTTAAGTTAAATGCTAACATAAACACTGTCAACCAATTTTAGTTGACATTGCTGAGAGCTGCTTCTTCTCTCTTGCTGTTTGTAACAGTATTGTAAATCACAGCGCACTCTGCTGGATAAACTTTGCAATGACACCAATATATTACCAGGGGCGGATGTTGCCCAGAGGCAGAGCGGGTCGTCCACTAATCGGAAGGTTGTTGGTTCGATCCCCGGCTGCTTGTCGAAGTATCATTGAGCAAGATACTGAACCCCAAATTTCTCCCGATGCTGTGCATCAGTGTGTGAATGTGTATGAATGTGTTAGTTTCTGTTTGATGGGCTTTACTGAGTGAATGTGTGTGAGTGTTTGGAAGACTAGAAAGGTGCTATACAAGTACAGGTCCATTTACCATTTACAACAATTTACAACAAGCATTATATACTGGAAAATTGCACCATGTCTGGGGAGCATGGCTGTCTTAAGGACAAACTGTAGGTACAAACTTTGCTAGATGGAGACAGATCTGATCAACGGATATAACGTTAGATAACGATGCTACACTGCCAGCTGAAGCACTGCGGCAGTGTTTTTTGGTAGTGGAGGAAGCATTCAGATCCTGAACAGGCCCAGCCCTAACCAATTTGGCACCCTAGGCAAGATTTTAGGTGGTGCCCCCCTTGCATCGCAGTAAATTCCACTGCCAGTTATATACATACATATACTCACGCAAGAAACTGAATAGCTTCGTCTTCGACATTTTATTTTATTTTTAGAGAAACAAGTTGCTCAATCAAAACAGTTAACAAGACAATAATAAATTAGAAATAAATAATACAAGAAATGTAATCTAAATAGCCTACACAAATGGACCTCTGTGAACTAACCCTGTTCGTACGTCATCAGTTAGAGGAGATGGCCAGTCAGCAGGGTCTGTTGGTGCAGCCTTTATTCCTGATGCTGCATCACTGGGTTCCTCTGAGGTGGAGGCGACAGGAGGATCACTTGATGCTGTTGAAGCGGCAATGACTGTAGATGGCCCAGTATTTGCAGAAGTTAGATTTAGATATTTCAACAGCGCATCTGAAGAGAGAAGAGGAGCAAGAGACACCATTGGGTGTTACAGTCTAATAATAAAAGAAATGATTCCAAGAATAAAATTAAATAATAAAAATGAACAACCTAAGAGATACATTACTTTCACTGTACTGTACATGAATGATATACAGTGCAATTTTTTCTGATATACAAATTAGATTCGATTTAATCTTATTGTCATTACAGTGAAATGCTGATTAGCAGAATGTAAAGAAGCAGTAAACTGCAGTATAATATAACATATGGGAATGTATTAACATCAATGATGTGCACTTTAACATGGATGTAAAGTTTAACACAATAAACACACTTTAGACAATACTGAACTGTAACACAACAAACAACAAGGCGTACAACTCTAATATATAAAGGTGTGTGAAAGGAATAGCATTTGACTGACTGTTACAAGCAGAGCAAACGTTAACTAACCAATAATAAATACAAATAAAAATACAGACAAATGGAAACAGCTGCTGAATAGATCTACTCTTTACAAATGTCCCTGAGAAATAGAAGGTGGGAGTATTACTTTTTTCCATAACAGCTGTTCGGCCCCTCCATAACATGAACTGACATTAAAACGAGGTAACACTATTTATTGATTAGCAAACCGTGTAAGGTTAAAGGTTACTATCGTTCTGTAACAGACAAATCATTTCATCACATTATCTTCACTCTACCTCTGTCTTTGTCGCGTCCTCCTCTTCTTTTCTTTTTTCCTTCCCTGGGCACCGGAAAGTTTTGGTGGTTTTGACATTGTTAATGGTTTCTGGGGTCACGTCAGAAAACTCAACCATCTCTCAGAGAGCAGGTAGAGGAGGCGGGGGCGCGGGGGGTTAATAAAGTCTTATTATTATTTAATAGGCTTTGCTATGCAGTTAAATTAATGTGGCCTTCTTTTTTTCATACTAAGAAATAATAGCACTAATCCTGAAAGTAGCAACACTGCGATATGAAAATACTCCATTACAAGTAAAAGTTGTGCATTGACATTGTCAGCAAAATGTAGGTAATTCTGGACAAATACCATGACATAGAGTGAACAACAACACTGCAAGTAATGTAACTGACATTAGCTATGTTGTGATAATTATTTTCATTATCGGTTAATCTGTTGATCACTTTAGTTAGTTTTGATCGCTATTAGTTGTTTGGTCAGTGTTTCCCCAAGCCCAAGCTGACGTCCTCAAATGTCTTGTTTTGTCCACAACCCAGATATTCAGTTTACTGTCATAGAGGACAAAAAAATTGGCCAAATTGAATAAAAATACCTTTAATCTACAGTATAAGGCTTATGGAGTAACGGATTACATGAAATGTTATCAGGATGCAGAAAAAGGCAATTGTATCCAAATAAAACCCCTAATTGGATACAGTAACATTTAGTAAAAATGGTAATTATTTAGCAGATAAGAATTTTAAAATACATCAGTTTTTCTTTAAAAATACACTAAGCAGAGGACATGGTATTGATACTAAAAAAAAAAATGTATTTTTTGTATCGGATTGTGAATGCTAATGTTAGCTAATGTGATAAAACGTTACGTGACAGTGTGGGTTAAACTTCTCCTGCCCCCAAGTGGCCAAAACATTAAATGAATGTCAGTGTAAAAGAGTGATAGTCATTTCTATCAGCATTGTTTAATTTGCATATACTTTACATATGTTTTAGTCCTAACAAGTAACAAATATTGCAAATGATATCCCTGAAAGTAGTCGTCAGGCTATTTTTGTTAGTTGCTACTCTTAAAGTTTATGATTGACTTGAAAAAAGTTTGCAGTAGCTCCATGACAATGCAGCAAATGCCATTCGCTGAAGTTTTACGATTGCAAATATTTTTCACAGCAGACTGTAACAGCACTAGCAAGAAAAAAACAAGAATTTGTGAGTTATTCTTCCATTTTAGATTTTAATGGCACTGCTGATAGTAATGATATTTTCTTTGAACTTTTTTGTGTAGCTCTTGTTCAAGTATGACCTGGTCAAGTATGACATGATGAAAGATGAATTGGTGAAAGATCAGAATGGTTTCTGTCAGCGAGTGAAAAAAGGTAAGAGTGCAACTTCTAAACATTTCCACAAATTATTAAAGCTGCAGTAGATAACTTTTCTAACAATAACTTTTTGTCATATTTGCTGAAACTTTCACTATATCCTGACAGTAGTTCATGAGACAGATAATCTGTGAAAAAATCAGGTTCCTCTGGCTCCTCCTAGTGCTCCTAATGGCATTTGAAGGAACCACTGGGCCTGAATAAAAACAACCAATTAGAGCCAAGAAAGATTCCCAGGTCATCAAATACAGATGCTTTGTGACTCTGGGAATGAGACTCAATAATCAACTATCTGCAAGCCTTCAAACTAAGGCGTCTTTATATTTTTCGTGGCTCTGATTGGCCCAGTGGATTCTTGCAATTAGGAACACTAGAATGAGCCAAAGGAACAAAGTTATTTTACCTACTGCAGCTTTTACTCAGTTTTCTTAGACTTTTTTTTCTTTGAAAATGACTCAACCTGAAAATGCTTTGTATTGATTTTAGACTTTCTGTCTTCCTCTCAGGTGAGACAGGGCTTTTACTGTCCAAAGTAAGCGCCACTAGCCCGTTCTTCGGCTACGCTGGAAGCAAGCAGCTGACTGAGAAGAAGCTAATGAGAAATGTGTTTGTGAAGGGAGACGCCTACTTCAACACAGGAGACTTAATGGCTGAAGACCAGGAGGGCTTTATCTGCTTCAGAGACAGAGTGGGAGACACCTTCAGGTACGGTTGGATAAGATTATTGCAGGGAGGAACCATACATACACCTTTAAAGCACCCATACCTATGATGATGTTCAGTATAACATCCTCATTATACCAGCAATTCTGTGATACAAACTAGAGGTGTGGAGTTGAAACGTGAGCATTTATTAGCCAGATGACCACTAAATCCTACACACTGGACCTTTAATGGGTAACTTGGACTGTATTTCCCCATGTTTTTGTGTCTAAGCGGCTAATTGGGACTGCAATTCTTTAATTTGGTCAAGTATTGTACAAGAGTGCTGCAGCTAGCAGCCACCAGCCACCAAAACTGGCTGAACCATAATCCTAATGGGCAATTGGGCACCCTCAAAGTACGTCAACTAAAAGTTGTTGTTTTTGCCACTGACAGACTGTACTCAGATTGTTATTAAGTGTCTGACAACATTATGGAAAGGATCCTTACAAAGATAGACCTTTTATTTAACAAGAAACAGCCATAATATTGCTCTGTTCAAAGCCACCAGACTCCATAGAAATTTTTTTTTAATTTTACCTCACAGATCATCGTAACATTCAAACACAAAATAAAATGAAAAAATAAATAAAATAAAATAAACAAACAAACAAAATAAAACTCACCAAAACTGTCTTTGTTAGTTCAACAATCACCAACTCTGGTTTGGTGAAAATAAAAAACTTAATTCACCAAGTTACATGTGAAAATATCGTGGCTGTACACACTGTTTCTGCACGCTGCCTCTCGCTCCTCTCCAGATTTTAACATATAACCCAGTGGATTAAGACACGGGTTCCCAAACTTCAAGTGTTCGCAAGGAACTTCAAGGGCCCCCACAATAGATGCACATTAGACCTGGCACCCCGATTTGAGAACATTATGCCTTAAAGATTCCCCTCTGAGTGTTTTATTTTATTTGTAACTTTTAAGATTCTAAAGCCTTCAGAGTCAATCAATGATCAAACCACTGGTTTAAGGGTTTATTACATTTACTACCCTTCCCACCGAGGATAACCATGTGTACTTGCTTACAAGGGATTCACAGGAAATGTGCAGCATGATCTGGATGTGATGCAGAAGACAGATGCAAGTATTTGTCATGCAATTCAATTATGGGTTCAGTGTTAGGTCTTCTTTAATCTACCAGCACCAGTCACCACAGGTGTTTCCAAAGCTACCATGGCTGGAATCTAAAGGATTATAACTAAAAACAAAGAAAAAAGCTACAGATGATGTTAAAGTAAAGGGACTAATGATTAGACACTTGGTGAAAATGGGATAAAAACAGGTATTAATGTATTCATGCTCTGTATTATAGCATTTATGCAAAGCCTTTTTCTACTTGTTGATTGAAATCACCATTTCTTCCCTGATTTCAGGTGGAAGGGTGAAAATGTAGCAACAACAGAGGTAACAGAGACTCTTGGGCTGGTGGAATTTATCCAAGAAGTCAACGTGTATGGAGTGGAAATACCAGGTATGTTGAAGACGTGTTTGTACTTTTACCTCTGCTCTCCAGATAGCAACAAAATTACAAAGCCTTTGAAAAATTATAATAGTAGAGCTGTGTATTGACACAGCATTGATACAAGAATCTTGCGATGCGATACGTATCACAATACAGAGGTCTCAATTCAATATATTGCAGTGACAACAGCAACAACAGTAACCGTAGCAATAATAATACTTATAATAATAACACTAATATCAGTGATATTAGCAGTGTGAGTCAAGCAGGACCATGGCAGGAGGCTCCACCAGGATCCATGAGAACCTGCGAGACGAGAAAGCACAAGAACTCCGGGGAAGAAGTGAAGTTAGTAACATGCATTAATGGGACATGAATGAGTGCAGAAAGAGAGAGAGAGGAAGAGAGGAGCTCAGTGCATCATGGGAAATCCCCTGATAGTCTAGGCCTATAGCAGCATAACTAAGGGATGGTTCAGGACTCACCTGATCCAGCCCTAACTATAAGCTTTATCAAAGAGGAACGTCTTAAGCCTACTCTTGAATGTGGTGAGGGTGTCTGCCTCCCGAACCACAACTGGAAGCTGGTTCCACAGGAGAGGAGCTCCTATGGATACTACACCTCCTCAGATCAGTTAGGCTATTCAGATTTAATTATATCTTCTTAAAAATCTTTCCAACTAAAGTTGATGGCGGAGTCCATGTTACAACTAAAATAACATTGGAATTAAAAAAAAATTTTTTTTAATTATTATTGATGAACAATATTGTGGTATAGAAATTATATATAACGCTTATATAACGTAATATTAGGCTGCAAATTACACTTAAAAAACATTTTTACCTGAGACATTCAGCCAAACGGTGTGCCGTTGATCTCTCTGACCACTGAAGTTTATTTGATCTGTACCGATGTCTTCTTATTTACCAAAGTAAGAACATTTCATAAGAAGACAACGCTGGTAACAGTGTTGGATTATCCTCTTGTCTTTGAAGGATGTCATCAATATACATTTTCCTATGAGCTGCTGACACAGCTGGAGTACGTGCTTTGTGCCACTGAATACATGTTATTGTTCATTGTTTGTCTGTTAGTATGGTACTGACCTGAGCAAATCAATTCATCTATTCTAATCAGTGTGGATGGTCACAAATTTTTGCCATTATAGTTAATTGTTCTTGGTGTGGCAGCCCTTAATCACATATTCCACATATACCAACATTATTACTGCAGTCATCCCAAGCTGGGATCCCATTCTGTTTGTAGTACATGCAGCAATGGATAACTCTGAGCTAGAGAGTGATGACAGAGATTACATTGAACCATGTTGTCCACAGGGCACGAGGGCAGAGCAGGAATGGCCGCCATTATTGTGAGACCAGGCCTCACGTTCGATGGGAAGAAGCTGTTTGAGCATGTGCTGAGGGATCTGCCGGCATATGCTCGTCCACTCTTCATAAGGCTTCAGGTAACAAGCAGAGGCGTGCACGGTTTAAGGTTTAAAGTTTAAGGGGAAAAAAACCTTGAAAATTTAGCAAATAACGTCATACTGCAGATTACACCCTTTAAAGCTGCAGTAGATAACAAAAAAATAACTTTTTGTCATATTTATTGAAACTTTCTCTATATCGTGACAGCAGCACATGAGACAGATAATATGTGAAAAAATCTGGTTCCTCTGGCTCCTCCTAGGTATTTGCAAGAATCCACCAGGCCTGAATGAAAACAACCAATCACAGCCAAGAAAGACAGAAATGCTTTGGGTTGGTAGTTGGTAGTTGGTCCTAGTGCTCCTAATGGCATTGCAAGAATCCACTGGCCCAAACAAAAACAACCAATCAGAGCCAAGATAATAGTACCCAGTGTCAGTTTTTAACGACCTGTGAATGAGACTCAACAATCAACTACCTTTCTTGGCTCTGATTGGTTTCCTCAAATATGACAAAAAGTTCAAAAAAACGTCAGCATTTGTCCATACTCAATCATATATTACCATTCAGTTAATTTAGAATCCAAGAAACACTGCTTCCATTTGCACTCACACACCTGATTCTCATCACCTGGATCTTAGCTATATGCACTTTGCTCCACCTAGTGGTATATTTTATTATGCATATAATATAATTCCAAACATGTTAACTTATTTAATACAGTCTGAAACCTGCTGATAAATGTTGTTTTTTTGTCCGTAGGAGGTCATGGAAATGACGAGTACCTTCAAGCAGCAGAAGTTCCAGCTGGTGCAGAGTGGCTTCAACCCCTCTACAATCTCTGATCCTCTCTATGTGTTGGACTACCAGCAAAACGCCTACATTCCTCTTACAGATAGTATCTACCAGAGCATCTTCGCAGGAGAACGCAAGCTATAGAACTCACAAGTACGGGTGTTGACGGCATGGAAACAGTGCACAAAGAAGGATAGAAGAGAGCTCTGCATACTGCAGGATTTTATATGTGAATGAAACCAGAGAGACTACAATTACATTCTGAATGAAAAGCCATAATCTAGTTAGTGAATGAGAGGATTAGGATGAGTTGACTGTATACTCAGGAACAGTAATGTTCCTATGAGATATTTTCAGATAAATATGAACCTGAACGTATCACTGTGAAACAACAACTGCTTAAATGAACCTTGTTTAATCTCAATTTACCCCTCAAAACACCCCAAACACCTGACTGAAACAAGCTGTTTAACCAGAAATCCCTTCATCTCTCCATTTGTTCAAACACTTAAAAAAGAAACTAATTTAAAAGCCCTTAATACATGATATCAGTAGATTTTAGTTATGTGTTATTGTGGTCTATTTGGTGAGATTTTGATTAACATTAGGGCTCTTAAATATGATTTTCATCTATAAATTATCGACATTTTAATGGATTATTTAAGTATTCAATAGGTTTACTAAATCTGCTCTGATTGGCTGTTTTCATTCAGGCCCAGTGGATTCTTGCAAATGCCATTAGGAGCACTAGGAGGAGCCAGAGGAACATGATTTTTTCACAGATTATCCGTCTCATGTACTACTGTCAGGATATAGTGAAAGTTTCAGCAAATATGACAAAAAAATATTTTTTTCATGAAAGCCTACCTACTGCAGCTTCAAAAGAGCCTTCATTATTTCAGTTAAGGTGGTAAATGGTAAATGGACCTGTACTTGTATAGCGCCTTTCCTTCTTCTGACCACTCAAAGCACTTCTACACTACATGCCACATTCACCCTTTCACACCCATTCACACAATGATGGCAAAGTCCATCGAACAGAAATGAATCATTCATTCACATTCACATATCAATGCACAGCATCGGGAGCAATTTGGGGTTCAGTATCTAGCTTCGACATGCAGCGAGAGGAGCCTGGGATCAAACCAACACATTTCTGATTAGTGGACGACCCGCTCTACCTCTAAGCCACAGCTGCCCTGCAAGGTGTGAGTTTGCACCAAATTTGTGTTTTATTCATAAATGGATGGATTATATTATATTGAGGGGTTTTAATGGGTTATTTCTGTGGTTGGACTCGAGTCGAAACAAAAGAACAAATGCACTACTAAATGCAATGTCTGCAGTATCAAAATAAAGAATGCATAAAGGATCCACATTAAACTATCTGGCACCTAAAACGCATCTGGATAGATGAGTCACCTGGACAGTTAACAACCACGTTTAACTCAGCCTCAGCTATCTTGGGGGTCCCTTAACGTGCTTGTCCTTTGTGTATGAATGTGTGTGAATGGATGAATTTGACGTGTAGTATAAAGCTCTTTGAGTGGACTGGAAAGGCGCTATATAAGTGCGGTCCTTTTACCATAGTCAATCAGTGGTTAAACTAGGATCACTATAAACTGCAATCAATCACAACAAACCCTATTTCTTCCTTGTTGTTCCAACTTCCAAAAAAGATGATAAACATTCAAATAATAAATTCCCTAGTTTGAAAATCTTTGGGCTATCTAATGTTAGCTTGCTACAAGCTTTGTAGCTATATGAGGTTAACTTAATTAGATTGGCATTCGCTGAATATTTAGAATATTCTGAATAGTTTGCTTGCCACATACAGTGCTGGATACAGTTGTGATATGATCCAGGATTAGCGGGAATGATCATTTGTGCATCACAATTTTATTTTTCGCTGAAAAAACTATTCAGATCTTGATGGTGTGACATTTGTTGGGGTCGGTACCAAACAGACGTCTGGAGATTAAGATTTGTAGGCCAAAACATAGACTTGAGACTTGACATGGACTTCAAAAAATGACAAAAATGTCTGGGTTCAAGGGGTAAACCCCCCTGAAAATGATGGAATTTCATGAAATTCACTGAATATACACTTTAACTGATATGTATGTTGAAGAATATTTCATTTTACATGTTAAATAATAATTAATTTTAGATATAGGCTACACTGACAACCAATTCTAGAAATGAACACTGAGAAAATAAAGACTACATAACAATGTAAATATCTATACATCAGACTACAAGAATTTTGCATTATATACTGGGGAAAAAAACTGTTTTCATATCTGTGCGTATATTGGATAACATATATAGCGATACGATACAGATATGTCTGCGATAGGCCAATATAGGCCGATGGATATATTGGTTGAGCTCTAGTATTAATGAAGAGATGACTTTTATCTTAACTGATCAATTTTAAGGGATTTATCTACCTCTTCAAAAGCCCTTAAACTGTGCAAATAATCTATAAGAAATAACATACAATGTTACAATCCATTAAATTGCCCAGTTATAGTTCCCTTAGAGCTGCAGCAACTTTTATAAAAATCACTTTTTGTTCTATTTGCTGAAACTTTAACTATATCCTTACAGTAGTACATGAGACAGATAATCTGTGAAAAAATCTGCTTCCTCTGGCTCCTCCTAGGTATTTGCAAGAATCCACAAGGCCTGAACGAAAATAACCAATCAGAGGTTGGTAGCTTTAAGACAGTTGATTGTTGAGCCTCATCCCCTGCATCGTTATTGACGCCGGGCACAGTGGATTGTTGCAAACGTGATTAGGAGCACTAGGAGGAGCCAGGGGAACCTGATTTTTGCCCAGATTACCTGTCTCATATTCTACTGTCAGGATATAGTGAAAGTTTTAGTCAATTTGACAAAATGTTATTTTTATAGAAATTACCTACTGCAGCTTTAAAAAGTGCCTTGATTACATCAGAACTCATATGATGAGAAAATAGATGGCATTTTAAAGTACACAATGAAGGGATTTAGTTTTATGGCTTGAAGGTTCACAGAGGCTTTTATTTATTTTATGTTTTTTTATTTATTTGTGTTTGTAACTTACAAACACAAATAAAAGGTTCACAGATGTGTTGCTGACACTTTGACAAATGGATTTCCCCAACAAGATCAACACATTCTTCCACAGCTATTTAGTTTTTACTGATTTTACTCGAGCCAATCAGATTTTAATCCATCGTTTTTCAAATTCCCACATTACTCTGACCAATTACAGCACGGCCTGTATGTTCAAATGATATTTTTCATTAATGAAACAAAAATAATCGCTTGTTCTCTTGACTGTGAGAAATTCTGAATATAAAGCCCATATATTTAGCCATATCAAGAGTTTTTCCCATTTATGTCTTTTTGATGCTGTGAAAGTTCTGATTTATTTATTTATTTTTGTTTTTCTTTTTGTTTTCTTTTACTTTGCTTTTGAGATTTTAATGTGCACTGCAAAATGTATTTACAGGCATTCATACTTGAGACCTTTCCCAGGTCAAATTAGTTTGTTTGCTGTTGGGTAAAAAGTCTGTTAACATGAAGGGTCTTAACTTCACAGTAGATGCAGAATCAGGGCAGAGCTGTTATTGTGGTCAACCACAATAAGCTTGCTTCTTCCACCATCCTCAGCGTGTCTGCAATGTTCTGTTTGTGTATTTACATGATTTATTTTAGATATGAGCAGCTTATTTCAGTATATTAGCACAGTTATGTGACTGTAACTGAGAAGAGAGGCACCGTTTGTAATATTTTAGAAGAGACTGAAATGTACTGATCTGCTGTTTACTGTTCGTTTTGTGTTGTGTATGTTTTAAATAGTAATATTTAGAAGGTTCAGTTCACTTCTGTGTGTGATCAGTGTATGAATATGCTCTTAAAAAGTATTGCATACAGGCTACAGTAGGTCATTTTATATGTTTTATTTCTGACAGTAATACACGATTGGTTGTTTTCGTTCAGGCCTGGTGGATTCTTGCAAATACCATTAGGAGCACTAGGAGGAGCCAGAGGAACCTGATTTCTTCACAGATTATCTGTCTCATGTACTACTGTCAGGATATAGAGAGAGTTTCATTAAATATGACAAAAAGTTATTTTTTATAAAAGTTACCTACTGCAGCTTTATCATCAATCATTCCTATCAGCAATAAAACAAATTAAATTGTCAGAATTCACTAAAAAGAAGTCTTGACAGGTCAGGAATCAAGACATATGGTCAGACAGGTTGGAATTAATCCAACGGATTAGACAGACCCAAATGTGAACATTTTTACCCAAACTCTCTGTTGTAAACATCCATCACAGTTTATACACCAATTGCTGACCTGCTGTACTCACAACTCACATGGATTATTCCACAGCATTGTTGAATATTCGATATTCAGCTTTCTACTGTCTGTTTCTCAATACCAGACCGCTGCTATGATGACAGACTGTTGCTATGGACGTAGTTCAGATCTTAGACTCTGGATAATCATTTTTAAATCAATAAAATCATTTTTAAATCAATGTTTTGTGGAAGATTATTGGTTTCTTTAGTTAGTAGCTTTGTAATCAGCACGGTATTAGGTATTAGTCAACCTCTCAGGTTTTTCCAGTAAAACAATAATGGACGATAATGGACACTTCCGAGGGCATTATCCCTTACATAAGTAATACAGTGGCAACAATTCAATTCAATTTTATTCGTATAGTGCCAATTCGTAACAGAAGTTATCTCAGGACACTTTTCAAAATAGAGCAGGTCTAGACCAAACTCCTTATAACATTATTTACAGAGACCCAACAGTACCACCTTCCAGAAGCTGACAACTATACCAGTGACATGAACAAAAATCTATTCAGGTTTTGATTCCTGTGGTCTGTGACAAACCAACCAGAGTCTGTAAAAGTGAACAACTCTGTCACAAAGCTATATACGGAGGTTACTGTTTTTTTTAATGTGATTTAGGCTAGGGCTACATTTAGGTCTAAACCAACTCAAATGAACCCTGAAAATGGAATCATGTGAGACAGCAAGTAAAACTCATTTTAAGATGACTATTAAAATATAAACAGATTGAGCCTGGCTGAACCCTGACAACCTAAAGATCCAGTTGGCCCTTTTGTAAAAACACTCAACACTTGGTAAAGCCCCTTTATAGGATTTTATTAAACTTTGTACTTTAAATTAAAAACGGCACTGTTTTCATTTTTATTTTTATTTTTTACTTTTTTCTATTCATTGATTTTATTGTGAAATAGGCCAGTGGATCATTGGAACAGTTACTCAAATAAAACTACCTATGTGATAAATATCTCTCTCATCTGCAATATGACATGTAGCTACAACTGACTACCCAGTGTTTTATATAAGAGGTTCAAAAAGTCAAAAGTCTTGCAAAACACTGATAAACAATGAATTTGATATGTTTCACGTGTATTTAAGACATGTTTGTAATTTAGATAATTGATTAATTTCATTGGGCTTGATTGATAGATATAACCGTGTATCATCTGCATAGCAATGAAAGTTAATGGAGTGATTCCTAATAATATTGCCTAAAGGAAGCATATATAAAGTAAATAATATTGGTCCAAGTACAGAACCTTGTGGAACTCCATGACTAACTGTAGTATTTATTGAAGATTCATCGTTAACGTGTACAAACTCAGAACAATCTGATAAGTATGACCTAAACCAGCTTAGTGCGGTTCCTTTAATGCCAATTTGATGCTCAAGTCTCTGTAAAAGAATATCATGGTCTAAGATCTAATAATACAAGTACAGAGACAAGTCCATTGTCGGAAGCAGTCAAAAGGTCATTATTAACTTTAACCAGAGCTGTCTCTGTGCTGTGATGAACTCTAAATCCTCAAATAAGCTATTGTTATGTAGAAAGTCACACAACTCTTTGGCAACTACTTTCTCCAGAATCTTAGAGAGGAAGGGGAGGTTGTGAGATATGCGTAGATATAAGTACACCTCTGGGGTCTGCAGGTACCCCAGTCAGTAGGAGGAAAGTTTTAAAGTGACTAGTGTGACAGCCCCTGTCTAACCTGATGATATGTGGGTATGGTGTCAGTACTAGTTACTGTATTTTTCTTATGCTTCTTTGAAGGTACTAGAGGAACACAGGTACAGCAACCAGCCAGATACAGAGCACAGTGTTTGGGGTGCTGAAAGGAAGTTAGTCTACTCTATATAATGATATCCTACTAAATGCTAAATGCACAGCTTAATGTTTTTTTTATCTGATCATTTAATACCTATAAACAACTTTTTTGTGTATAAAACAAATACAAAACAAAGTAAAATCCATTTTCCTGGGGTGCCTGGATAGCTTACCTGGTAGAGCTGTTGCCCCACTAGTCCTTGCTGTAGCAGCCCATGGTTCAAATCTGACCTGTGTTCCTTTGCTGCCTGTCCTCTCTTCCCCCCTTTCCTGTCAAAAAAACACAAACACTTTCCTGCCATAAATAGCAGTGTGTAAATGTAAATCCCAGTAAAAAAGTAGAAAGTCATCATCAAGTTTAAACATTTTATGAACTAATGGTTTTCATTATGCCAGACTTCCAGTGCCCATGCCTAGCACTGCCATAAGATGAAAGCCTAGGACTTTGCCTTTGTTTGACTTTTGTTTCGTTTTACAACCCATTTCACTTACATCATGCTCATACATTCACATCCGCATCACTGATGTCACTGACTGCACATTTATAGTAATTTCTTTAGTTGTTTTTTAATAATAGTACAGTGGACAGTATAATTTGGGGGTTCGGGTTTGGTGTCCCAGAAGTGAAGAGCACCAGTTGTAATGTGTCCAGTTGTGAAAGTACAATCTCCTCTGTCCTCTTGTCTTCTGATTACAGTTGTCACTCTGATGTTAAACAGCAGATGGCGCTAAAATGCTTTGTACATTTACCAGTGGTGGACTAACAATGTAAAAACACTGCATTACAAGCAAAGGCCTTTCATTATAATCCTGCTGAAGTAAAACATATAAGTACTATCAGCTAAATGTGCAAAAAGTATCAAAAGTAGAAGTAGTATTCCTGCTGTAAAATGCCCCCTGTGATTGATATATTATTTTGATATAATATTATTACATTGTTAATACTGATACATCAATGTGTAAGTAGAATTTTACTGTTGTGCTGTTGCTGTTCAAGGTTAAGCTACTTTAAAACTAGTCATTCAGTAGTCTACCGTCGTGTTGCTGATGCATGTTATGAAAACAAGATTTCACTCATTATTCCCACGTGCATTCACATTTTTACAGCTGGTGGATGTGGATAAATAATGAATATTATATGTATTGCTGTACTGTATTTCCATTACTTTAATCTTCGGGTTGTGCTCTATAGTCTAATAGATTGATGCCTCAGTTTCTATGATGTGCTGTATCTATTGTGCACTTGCATGACAAAGCACTGTGTACTGCAGACATTTTGACTTTAGTGATAGCTCCATTCCTGTAAGTTTCTCTGGAACTGGCTTATCTAAATTGAATGCAGCCATGATTCCACCTGTACGTTTCCCTTTTTGACGGGTCTAAATGTTTTTGTCAAACTTTTGCCCTAATGAAAGTCTAGCAACCAAAACAAAAATCTAATGTTATAATAATAATATTTTTAAAATACTTGTTTTGTACTACCTGGGTCAGTTAAGAAGCCTTTGAAACAAAAAACATGACCAACAAAGATACATTTTACCTAATATTTGTCTACTGCTACACCTACGGTCAAGAATGAACTTTGAATCTGCTCTTTAAATCTCACATGGACTAGAAGTCCCTAAAATGGAAAATCAGACAAAATGGAAATTTCAACAATCTACGATTCAGTTCCTTCTACAGTTCCATGACGATGCCATGTACTGATGGAGTAGTTGCTAGCAGCCCTGATACAGGGCCATAGTAGGTATATAAGCTGCAGCAGGTAACTATTATAAAAATAGCTTTTTGTCCTTTGCTGAAACTTTTCACTGTATCCTCCTAGTGCTCCTAGTGGCATTTTGCAAGAATCCACCAGGCCTGAATGAAAACAACCAATCAGGGCCAAGAAAGATTGTAGATCGTTGAGTCTCATTCCTGATGCTCACACATCTGTGTATAAATGGGATGATAAGAGATCTTTCTAGAGACCTAAAAGTGGGCACAAAAACATAAGGCAGCTGAAAGAAAGTTTTTTCTAATAAAGAAAGGTCTCCTCCATTAAATTTGATCCAAACCATGAAACCAACATGACTCACTCGCAGAACAAGAAGAATTCCAACCGTTGCAACATGTAACTGTAAAGCTCTCTATGTAACACAATTCATGAACAGATTGGTGACTGAAATGTCTAAGAGACTGTGATACATAGTCTCAGGATCAGGACTAAACAGCTACTGAATAGACCTTGGTGTAAGATTGTGTCAGCTTTCAATTGTTTTCACTGTTGTAAGCACCACAGACATAATTCCATCCCCTATCATTACATTATGATGGAAGCAAAAACCTTGGAAGAATATGTTTCACTTATTATTATTATTATTAGTAGTAGTAGTAGGAGTAGTAGTAGTAGCGTTTATATTGTTTTTATATGTAAAACATATTTTCCCCCTTTGATTCAGGAAATACATGTAGTTCGCTTGCATGAATGATTTCTTTTTATGACTTTCTATGTTGCAAGCTATTATTATTATATATGGAGTTAAAATAAAAATAAAAATGTATTCATACATAAAGAATGATGACTACATAAAGCAACAGCAGGAAAAATACATATTTCCACAAGAATTTTTGAACATTTCTAAAAAAAACATTTCTTTAGAGGGGTGGCTGTGGCTCAGGTGGTAGAGCAAGCTGTCTAGTAATGAGAGGGTTGCTGGTTTGATTCCCAGCTCCCCCAGTCCACTCAAAGTGTCTGCAGGAGCCAAATATGTTTAAGAACGCAATTGTTATTTCCTGTGTGTACACACTACAAGGATTTTTAAGAAGGAAAAAAGTTTCTGGGAAATTAGTCTTGTTTTTTGTCTAAAGAGAAAAATTATCTTGTCAAGCATATTTTGCATTAGAGAAGTAATTTGGTTTTAAGAAAATGTATCTAGCTTTGTCTTAATAACATATTACAGCTAATATTGAGCTCAATTTAAGAGTAAGACCACCTGCGCACATTCAAATGAAGAAGCTGTTTCGCTTTCATGAAAACATATAAAAATAGAAGAATTCTGGTGCCTTCATTTAAGATAAAACCACTTATTTGTATTGTGCTTTTTGAAGAAATTGTGTCTAATTGTTGAGTTTTAATTTCTTGTAATAAACACAACTTTCTTACATTTTTGGTATTTTTTCTAGTTTTAAGAACCATTACAGTCTTTCAGTGGTACATTTTTATGCCAGTTTTAAGAATTCTATCAAAGCAAAACTGGCTTACAAGAAAACTTGATTATATTTAGGAATATTTGGCTTGTTTCTAGAAGGGCTGTTTTTGCAGTGTAAACTTTAATGTCAGAATTCTGACTTTACACTCAGAACTGTGGCTTT